CACCCATGACGTGAAAGGTGTTGTATCCGTCGTACGTTGAAATCAGCGTTATCGTAAACGTGCTTCGCAAAAAACATCTTATCAGCTTTCAGCAGATCGCCCTAGATTTCTGATGCTTCCAGGCATACAGCTTCTGTATAAGATGAACAAAATCCCAATGAAGACATTACGTCAACTAATTTTCTCGAGCCGTAGTTCTTGTACCAAAACAGGTGAGATGAATGATCTAGGCCTTACCACTGCAACAAGACTATGCGCCATCGCTGTGCTCTTTTTCTTCCAAATATCATGGTCCCCACGTTTTTTGTTTAGTACAACTGTTTCCAAGAATGTACGGGGGGTTTCTGGAATGAGTTCTTCATTTGTATCTAGAAACATATCAGGTGGAGTTCTGTGTCATAAGCCTGGCTCCGAATATCCTAAACAATAATGGCAGCAGCTGCCTTAACGATTCGGAGTCTTTCCTCCTGTTCGTTTTTCATTACCTGCTGGTACTAAGCATCAATCAAAGTAACCTTTGTTTTTGAAACATACCACCTGCGCCTTGTTTTCGGAAAAACTGATTAGTATAAGTATAGCTTCCATATTTTTTCAATAGATGAGCTTTGACTATTATTTTTTTGTCAGGACATTAATCTCCTTTGATTTGGTCAATCAACACTTCGAACGAAAACTGGCACTTTCCATCACTATTCTCAAGATAACTGTAGTCATCTTCCATTGCTGCTTCAACATCATTGGCGAATGGACCTCTTGTTCTCTTGCCTTGAATTTTTGGGCGATTGTACAGTTTTCTCATGCATAAACTCTTACCGACAGTCAGAGGCCACCAGGTCTGAGGTAGGTAAAAGATGCTTGTCCGTACTCATCACTGCATTCTAATGCTCTTTTTATAATGGTTTCCTTGACCTTTAAAGTTCGAACCTGATACATATTATTGCGATTGGTTTTCTTATGCTAGCGCTTGAGCCCAAACGGTTCGTCCTACAAAAAAAATCAAAGAATATAATTCATAGAAAATATTATTTACCATCATTTTGAATAGAGGTGTTTTCTCCAAAAAATAAATATTCTTCAAGTTATATGCAAAAGACTGCTAAAACTACAATTTTTTTTCCCCTTTTTTTGCATTTTTTTCAATGCTGCGTCACGAAATTTTGTTAGCAAACCTTAGATTCGGATTCAGCAACTTAAAAAACATAAGGAATGGAGAACATCAAAACTACCTCAAAAATTTTCCGCGAGAGGCTTTTATAAGCACAAATTTATTGTAGGTGTCTACTACTATTCAGCAAGAATTATTACTTTGCTTCTTTGATAAGAGTTTGGTTGGACACAAACGAAACAAATTAATATTACGTACTTTCTAAAATACTTTTTCCATCCTCGTACCGAACTGAGATGGAAAATCATTATTTCTTCCAAAATGGAATACTCTGTAAACTATACTACTAAGATTTACCTCCCACTTTCGATTAGGCAAACATTTATGAAATTTAAGTCAAGGGTGGAATTTACCTACCAATAAAAGAAATAGAAGTAAAACAATAATAATTGCTATGGCAGAATTTATTGTCTTCATAATACGTCATAGGTACAAATCGATTGCACGATCCATTAATTATTACCCTATACAAGTTCAAAACAACAGCCCGTTCCAATTATTTGATTTACTGGACAAGCCAAGTATCCCATTACTAAATAAGTGCGGTTTAAATGCAACACCACTAACCCCATAAATTATGTAAGCTATATTACCAAGTTTAAGGTTCTTGAAATTGCAATAGGAATTATTGGGTTACAATGTTGGTAATGTGAGCTTTTGCAAAGCATTGTAACGGGATAGTTGTGAAAAATTATACAATGGAACTTATAAAGTATAGTTACAAAATGTGAAAATTGTTTAGTCATGAAACCACCTACAACCAATCCAAAATGCATGTTAATAATCGCCTTATCCATGTAAACAAAAAAACGGTGTAGGTTACAAAATGGTACGTTATAGAACGAAAACAGTACACTGGCTGTTTTAAATAAAAATTCGTAATTATATCCTGTTACCTATTTAACAAATAAATCCTTGAAATTGCAGGAAAATTGCACTAAAAAGTTGTTCTATATTTTGCCTCCTATTTGAATTTTCTATCAGACGTTTTAACACGATGTAGGGGAGCGGCGAAAAAATTTCAAGGGAATTATCGGTGCAGAGTGAAATGTGTCCAGGAAATTTAGAAAAAGTTAAGTACCGTTTGTTAGTACACACACGAGTAGGTTTTGACGTCAAGTAATTTCTTTTACGCCTTTCCTTATGGGTGTCTTATTGCGAAATTGTGTTTCACAAAGAAAGAAGAAGGCGTTTGATTTTTATGATTTATGATCGATATGTTGTAAGAAACCTATTAGTTACTCTATTTTTATTGGTTCTAGACATTTATTTTCCAAATTGATTTATACTTATTAAACTTTTGGATTTTTGGCATTTGTCTATCACGTGTTAGAAGAAAATACAAAACAACATAGGTACGCTTGAATTTTGAGACAACTCCAATAAAGATTAATTGATGAATAAATTTTTCTGAATTTTACTGACGAGAATTAGCCGGTTAAAGTAGGTATCCAATGAAAGGAAATGATTGAGTGATTTGATAGGGAAGCCCTTACAGGAAGCACGTAGACCCGCATGTGGCTCATTGTGCTATTCCCCTCTTGATGCAGCCCTGTCCCACCTCAAGAGCCTGCAACTTTTAAGAAAGGTGCCGACTTGCTCAGGTTGTTACTTCATCAGATTCCAGAATCCTGTATCTGAGATATCGTAGCCTGCGACTAACGAGGGAGTCACATTCCTGCATACCGTCTCATTACTGAGTTTGATTTAGTGCAGGTGGTATTTAGGCTGTTCAAATAAGATTAAATTCGTCAGTATCCTACCGATGTGGCAAGGTCTGTTGAAGGGTAAATTGGGGAACTCCTAAGCCTTGGTTAAGTGTGAACGGAGAGCTTAGTTAATATTAATAACACTCCACCAAATGGAAATCATGAAAGGGACTTTCTGATCCCCCTGTATATTTGTGAGCTTTCTTTTCACAATAAATTGACCGTTAAGAGGTAAAACTGCGAGCAATATTTAACTTGAAGTTAACATTCACACACACACGACTTGAAGTTGGAAAACGACACATTTTCATACCCAATTCGAAGTGGAGAAAACTAAGGTCAATATCCACCTTTTCTTCAAAACTTTGTATTTTCAATAGTATTGAAAATATCAGAGTAAATAAAAAATGAAAATATTCGAAAAGATCAGGCTACAATTTGGTGTTGAAAACTGTTTTGAATTTCCAGTGGTTCACGCCACAGGGTGTTTCGAAAAACTACTGACTTTCTTTTCATCCCTGTACATGATATAAAGACGAATCATTTAATAACGGTAATACGTCAGATGTATTCCTGAACAATCGAGCTAAAATCTGTGAAAAATTCATCGAAATCGAGCGGAGGGTTCAAGAGAAAATTGATGTCAAACTTAGTGTAAATTTTGTCCGTTCCCCTAACTTTGCCGGTGTGTGTAGCTTCAAATCTCTCGCTATAAACTTGAAACATCAGTGGGATAAACAGTTCTCATCCTACTGGAAAATCATAGGACTCCAAGGCAATAATTTTCGTTTGATTTCTTATAGTTTTGATAATCAACATCTTCAATTACTTGATCACGCAATAAGACATAGGAAAAAATACAATGACATTGTGAAAATATGCAAACAAAAAAAAGGAAACGTAAGTAATCCGTGTCAACCTGTTCCACTGTAACTTTATCAATTAATTAATGGCCAACACCCCATTCTTATGCGCTGTGCATATATTTCCCTCTTTAATTCAGTTCATTAAGAAGTATTTAAAAATTCTCATTATATGAATAGTAAACAATTTCTTGCACCGTAAAATGACAGTTCACGTTTTTCTATACAATGCAACGAGGGATCGATCAAGGTGTTTTTCGCTTATGCAATTTATTATTGTGACTATAATTTCCATGTGCAGGTGGATTGAATTTGGTTCTACTTTGTATTTTTTTTTTGAAACTCCAAGAACATCAATGATTCAAATAGTTTCAAACTTATTTGTTATTGTGGCGAGTTGGGTTAAATTGATAGAAATTTAAACTTCTAACAGGCAAAAAATCTATTCTTGTATTTAAGCTATTGCAACGAAGTTTAATTGCAAATGATATTCGAATTTGGTCCACCCTTCATTTTAAACTTTGAGTTAGAGGACTGAATTATCTATATCTAAAACTTTTCAAAACAGTTTGGGTCGCTTTCATAATCCTTAAGAGACCCAGATTCGAAGTTGAACTTTGGTCAAAACTTTTGGTAACTCGAAAATTGATCTTTGTAATTGTTGATTAATTTGTTTTGCTGGTGTAGCCATAAATTGAAAAAAAAATCAACCAATGAATTTCCGATAATCATGTGATCAATCGAGCAAACCTAACTGGCCATTATAACAATGTATCACCTTATTTTTAAATAAAATAGTTCAAGCTTATTAGATTAATATTAATGTTTACTGAAGTATTAATTTCGTTAAAGGCCATAAAAATGTGATTACTATCTACGATACCGAGAAAATGCGAGACATTTGCATAAAAATTAACTTAACAACTTAAGATTTTTTTTTAACAAAATAAAAATGAATAGATTGATAAAACTTGAAAAATATCCTCAAACAACTGTGACTGTTTTATGTATAAAATGTAGTGCAGATTCCTAAAAATTGACAGACAGAGAACCCAAATCAGGTTGATTCAGTGTTTTGGCTGAAAAGTCCTAGAGGATCAAAATTTTTTCAACAAAACGAAGAATAATTAATCCTAATTTATTGATATTATCAAAACAAAAATAATTTTATCCGATCCCATTATCGTAAAAGAACGATATCCGCATGTGTCCCTTTTATAAATAAACGTAGTTGGCGTTGTTCTCAAGACATTGGAGAATTGGAGGGGAGTGATCTAGTTATAATAGATAACCTCTCCTAGAGTGGTACCAGTTGCACCCCTGAGTGTAGACAGTGACTGAATTTAATTATACAAAATGAAAACTTTGGTACGTAGATAATAATAATGATTTTATGAAAAATTCCAGTTCGTTTCTACTATTTTCCTGTGGGACTGTTTTTGGAAATTATAATTTTGAGGCTTGGTGATGGGATTTTATATCGATTTTAGTTATTTTTTTCTAATTTGCTTTGTGTTTTTCTGATTTTTGTGACATTCACTTTTCGTCCTTGGAAGAATTGATTGAAGTCACATGCACTTTAGCTAATGATATTATGTTGCAGAAAATTCATATTCATTGTGGTTTGTATTTTATGGGCACACCTGTAGGTCTTAAGATAATATCCTGGTAAATTATAAGTAGGATTTTTCTTTTTTTTTGCAAAGTACTTAAATTATTTAGGTATTTCTCATTTTTGATCCCATTTATTCCATTACCTATTCCTATGGTGTTTTTTATTTTCAATAGTTTTAAAATCTTGTTATGTCTAATTTTCTGTATTATTTCTTTTATTATTGATTTGTTGATATTTCTTCATTCTTTGGTTTTCTTGCCTGTTGTGACATCTCTTCAATGTTTCATCAAAAATGTAGTTCTTTAATTTATAGTAGTATTTCATCATCTCTTGACACTGAGTTGATATTGCATGTTTAGGGATATTTTTTTGGTTTGTTGGCTTTCCTTCCAAATGACATGCACAAATCTTTGCTTTTCTCAGAATCTTGAATGCATTATTTGACAGTTCAATAGTTCGTCTCTGAGACAGCTCTATCTTTACCAGGACTAAAAAATATTCCTATTTTTCATCTTCTCATCTTATTGAGCTGATTTTTTCTTTATTATATCTTCTCCAATAACTCTTCTTACAATACTTCTTCTTTTCCTGCGTCGGTCGTTATTCATTCTTTTTTCTCTTCAAATTCCAAAATGACATTCATTATTTGTATACCTTGTCATAATGTTAGTTATTTCTTCATTTAGCTCTGCGTTTTCTTGGTCATCGGCGTAGTCCTCGCCGGTGAAAAAAAAGAAGAAAAGAAGGTTGAAGACAAAAAAGTCACCAAACGTGGAGTACTTGGACTAGGCATCGCAGGTAGTTTATAATTTCTCTAAAAATTATCAAATTACTTAAAAAATGTATTTGTTTTTTCAGGTCACGGCATCTTGGATGGAGGATTGGGTCTTGGCAGAGGCGTCGGCTTGGGAGGAATCGGTTTGGGATCCCTCGGAAGCGGTTTGGCCGTAGGAGCTGGCGGACTTGGAGGACTCGGAGGTGCCGGTATCGGACTTGGAGGTGTCGGACTTGGAGGCGCTGGTATTGCTGGTAAGTCACAATTTTCAAGCAGACTTTAGCAGTTACTTTCCAACTTTCAAATACTTTTTAGCTGGTCCAGCAGTTGAATTGAGCTCTCACGCTCACACCCATACCACCATCACCAGAAACTTGGGATTACCCGTAGCCGCTCCAGTAGCCGTACCAGTCGACAGGCCTGTAGGTGTTCCAGTAGGAGTCGACGTACCCGTTCCAGTCGACCGTCCCTACGGAGTACCAGTTGGCAGACCCGTCGCCGTTCCAGTAGACAGACCAATTGGAGGTAAAACTTCTAAGACACTTTATTGGCAAAATTATACTAATAATCTGTTTTGAATTTAGTTCCAGTTGACAGACCAATCGCCGTCGATGTACCTCACCCATACGCCGTACCCGTAGACAGGCCCGTACCTGTAGGAATCGCAGTACCTCATCCAGTCGGTGTAGCCAGGCCCGTGCCAATTGGTGTACCACACCCTGTCCCTGTTCTTGGAAAAGTTCTCGTCCACCACTAAGTAATTAAATAGAATTTTTTTTTGTTTAAAATTTGGTTTGTAAAAGTACACGGTACCAACAGTAATGTACAAAAAATAATCGCTATTGAGTCATTGTAAATACGTCTTGAATAAATTATTTTTAAATAGTTTCTTTTGATTTAATGATTAGGTACTTGATCTATGACAAAGAGGATGTAGTAGTCGTAGTCATGGGGAAAAATTCACAAGCTACTAATCTGCATACTTGATGAGTGACAACTGTAAATTAAAAAAGTCGTAGGTACTACTGGTACATGCAGGAAAAATAAGGATCGTAACAACGGGCTCCGACCTTCTCCCACCTGAGATAATATAGACTTTTTTATTACGGTGTCTCATTTCAATACCTCGTTCAATATGGTACCATAAGTTTCAATCAAAAAATACAAGATTCATAGTAACATCCAACAAAAGTTAAACCAGTCTACAAAAATCTTCTGGGTTTGTGAATGGTACGATTAGTGCAATTAACGAGAGCGGTGTCTTTTTTTTTACTGACGGAACGAATCCATTATTTTTCACTCCCTCACTACCCGAATTATTTTCACAAGTCGCTGAGATTTCAGGACGACAGTCTTCATCATTGTCACATTCTGACATCAAATCATTAACCACACTGAAATCAGAGTAACGTTTTCTAGGGGCTTCATAGGGTACACATTCCAAATTATACAGTCTCTGGATAGGCTGTATCAGTTGACCTCTGACAGTAGTCAATTTCACCAAACACACTTGGTTGTCTTTGCCAGTCAACAATTCAGTAACTCGTCCCAAAGGCCAATCTAAACGTTCCTGTGCATCGTTACCAATCACACAATTTCTCCTAGTTTTAAGTTTCGTCTGAATTTTGCCTTATGGAAAAATTTAGGTTGTTCCATATATTCGCTGCGAAATCTGCGACTTAATTCTTCTCGTGGTCTTTCTGAAAAGTCACTCGTCGACACAAGGACTGACTGTCAACCAAACGCTGGGACTCTGTAACGAATAGAGATATTTTCTCTGTTGACGTACCCTCTCTATTGATTTCGAAAAGACAGAAGAAGGCAGTAAGTGTCATAGCGATAGGAATAACGATCTGTATCCATTATAGAGTCCCAGCCCAGGTCTATTTCATAAAAATGGAGTTGAAGAGTTGAGGAGTGAGGAGCGACATAATGTTTCATTTCATAAAAGTTTTGAAGAGTTAAGTAGTAGACGCAATTTTTTTTTGAAACAAAAACGACATTTACTTTTCACTCCCCAACTCTTCACTCTTTACTCGTCGCTCATCAGCTCTTCATTTTTATGAAACAGGCCCCAGGTCTAAATCTGGAACAACATTCTTAAGTTCATCTTGAAGAAACATTATTGGTCTGAGGGGTTCCAATTCTGAAACATACATCTGTCGATACATAAGTCAATGGTCGCCAATTTATGATCATTTCACAATCACACAAATCAGTAAGTAAGTTTTCATAGTTTAGACATGCACGTCCACGTGTTTTACGCCAAGAGCTGTTTTAACAAACCAATAAGTCTTTCCCAAAAGCCGCCCCATCAGGGTTCTTATTCTTGAAACAGGGGAGCAGCGTTCCCAGGAGAACGGGTGTTCTGTCTTTGTTACTTATATTATCAGTTGCATATCGTTGACAAAGACGGAACACTCGTTCTCCTGAGAACGCTGCTTCCCTGTTTCAAGAATAGGGACTCTGGGACACAGTGGGAGGGTTAAATCGCCAGGTTATACGGTCAACGCAACTTTCGGAAACGAATATATTCCATTCCAATTTTCCAACCACCAAGTTTGTACCACTGTTACTATAAATACATTGTCTTTGGTCGACCGCATCGTTATCGCATCGTGCGATAAATCATCGCAAGGCCTGCATAAAATTTGTCACCGATAACGAAGTACAAACTTCAAAGTGTACCGTACGATAGACCACACAGGTGAAAAGGTATATCCAGACTTTTTCACTGCAACGGGCCAACAAAGTCCACACCGGTAACCTCGAATACTGCTGCTTCGCAAACAAGATCCAAAGGTGATGGAACAACACTTGCTTAGAACGGGTTGCTATTATGTCGCTTACACACGCAGCATCTTGATATGGCCGACTTTATATCAGGACGACCACCCAAGACCCAGAAGTTCTCACACCGAATGGACATAAGTCTTTAAGTTCCAACATGGCAATATTTTACGTGGGTATCAAACACAATATGCGTCACTATAGGATGCTTGGAGGGCAATAACACCGGAAATCTAAAATTCTCATTGTCATCCCTAGAACTTATTCTTGTTTTCAGATGAATAAGACCATATTTGTCTTTAAATAGATTGAGCGTTGATAAATTCTTCTCTTCAACTCCTGCAAAACTTTCCGTTCTAATAACTTTAAAACAAATATCTCCGCTCCATTAATTTCTTCCATCGACAGTTCTTCATGGTGCTGATCCAGTGGGTTTCGTGTATTGTACAGGAACCTGCACAGGCATGCAATCATACGTAGCGTTTTAAAATACTTTGAAAAATAATCCAAGTGCCAATTTTGGAAGATCATAGTTATTCTAGAATTTGTATTAGTTAATGGCGTCACCAACTTCTTTTTCTTTTCACGGTTTATTTCGTCCTCATTAAATTGAATGTGCCTTGAAGCCAAGATTATGGGTTTCCATAAAGCCAACTTGGGCCCTTCCACCATTTTCATTCTAATAACTTTTTAGCAGAACAACCGCGCTATGGAACATCCGCAGGATTTAGCATTCACGGAACATTGCGCCACATCTTAACTGAGGTGTGCCGTCTAATCTCAGCTACACAAATATATATACAAAAGTTTCCCATGCCTCATTTCTGGTAATCCAGGAAAACACTGTAGAAGAATCGGTCCAAAAGAAACAATCAACGTCTAATTCAAGACTTTGTATTAACGAAGAACACAGTCTGGTACTGATAAGAGCGGCCATCAATTCTAATCTGATAATGGTTAATTCATGAAGGACCCTACTCTTTGCAGCGACCAAGGGGCCTTTTGCACAATGATTTACAAACTAATAGTATTATACTTGTAGGTTGTAGTTCGTGAGATTTTGTTGTACAATAGTTGAGCTGGTAATTTGAATTGACAAGTTGTAGAATAAAAAATATCATTATATTTTGCACTCATTTTACAAGTACTTCTTGCACAATTAGTGGTCATGAAAAAATTAGTCTATAAAAATTTTCATTTTACTAGTGAATGTCTACAAGTCTAGGTTCACCTATAATTAAGTGATATCTCTATTAGTGAAAACATTTTCGAGGATTTTCTTTACACCACGCTCAAGAACATGTTAGAAAATTTATTGTTTACTTCAAGTATTGAGGAGGATGAGGAGTGGTCACCAAAATCCTCTGTTCATTGTCGACCTCGTTGCGCAAAAACTGCATTAGATTATTCAATATAGTCATCGAAGAACCATTTACACTTTGTTGGGAACTGGTAGGATTAGTAGATATTGGCTAGAGATGAACATTGCCACACCCTTAACAAATTTTCTGGTAGGTATTACTCAATTTTTAACGTACGTTCACAGCAAGGGATACAATAAGCTAACTGGCTGCAGTGTCAGGGAATCACTAAACTTTGCCTTGCTGTATATCAAATCAATCAAGAGGTTTAGAAAGTCAGCTCAGTTTTTGCATAAGGCTTTAGTTATGTATTGGTACTTCAGAGAGCTTCATGGTACCGTCTGGAGGGCATTCATTTAGTAAGGAAATACAGGCACATATCAATAGATTTAAAAAATTCACAAGGCAATATACAGTTCCAGTTTTCAGCAGCTATTATCTTGAAAACTCCGGTCCTACGGCAGCCTCAGAGGCATTACTGAACATGCCTCCTTTTTAGTTTTGCGTGAAGAAAAGGGGCAGATTTTCTCGGGTTAACAACAATTTTCCAATGCCGAGAGCCATTTGTGGATTAATGAACAAACTTCTCATGGAAGTACTGAACAAATGTCAGGCAAAAAGGTTCAAAAAAAACTTGAACAACTCGATTTGCATCAGGTTTTTGTCCCAAGGAGCACATAATTCGAGACAAACGAAAGAGAATATCTAGACAATTCTAGGAGCAACGAAACGCTGTGAAACGGAATCTGTCGCCAAGAAAAAGTCAGTTATATAGGTAATAAACGCCAGCGAATCGATAGGAAGACAGTGAGTTCCCCTTGGGGAAAATTGGTTACACTTATTATAATAAGGACTTTTTTGCCTATTGGCAGTTGTCAGGAAAATACTATCTTATCAATGCAAAATGGAAATTACTTTAGTTAAGTAGTTGAGTATTATGCAGAAAGCAATCAAAACTAATCTTTAAAATAATTTTATTGTCGAAAAAGTAGGTATTAAGAAATTCCCTGTTTATCCTCTAAAGCTTACTAAAAGCATCTAAAATCTAGTAGTAGATAAAATCAAACATTTATATTTACATAACTAACAAATACAATCAATAATACTAATAAAAACAATGGTTATTGTAAGATGCAGATACATAATATCCATTTTAGAAATTAAGTCGTTTCAAGTGGGTTCTGAAGCTGTAGATCACCAAAAGCTGGAAACCAACCATAACTACAAAAAAAATAAAAATCGTAAATTATAAATAATTAAATTCAAGAATGCGTCACAAATGCCCTTTACAACGAATATAATTATTTAATACCAGAGTCACAATACCGATATATTATTGGTTTAAATATTCATCGGCAATTCTAGGATAATTCCAGTCTCACCTTCCATTTAAGTATCATTTCACAATCGATTTAAGAGAGCACCACTTGTTATTTATAAGCAAATACCACACGAGGGGGACATATAAAAGCCACGTTGATTTCACCCATCATAATTGACAGTCGCGACGTCCTTTTTGTAGATTAATTATTAATGGAACATTCAAATAGAATTGTATATATGTATATATGGAAAAGTATTTGAGAATTTTTAAGAAATATTATTTGAAATAGGAAAAAATGGGAGTCTAACATTTGAAGTAACATGTGTATTGATTTTGTTAGAAATAGAAATTCATTGGAAATTAAACAGAATTTCAAACGACAACTTTCACTGGAAAAAAGCATTAATAGAGTTTATATCTGCAATTGTCCATAATGAATTTATTTGTTCCATCGTGATTTGGATGATCTGAACTGTAGAAAAACTGATGAAAATATCTTCCACTTTAGTTAGCTTGCTCAACTGTAGAAGAGGTTCAAATTCGTTTCAGGATAACAGCGAGGAGGTTAATTCTACAGGAATTTACCTCCTCATGTTGTCCCAATTTTATTGAGATGACTCAACAGTAGAAAAGCCCTGCTTTTTTTGCACATACTTAAAGATAAGAAAACTCGTTTTCTAGATTCAATTAAAAGCTTGTAGATATACCTACCAGTGGCCCAAACACTGAAAAACACATGTCCAACCACATAAGGAGTACTATTGTTTCCAGTATGATGAATAATTGCAATTAAGGTACCAACCACGTAGACAAATAGGCCGACAGGGTTCAGTACCAGCCATGGGGTAAGTAATGATGGGTGATTCTGGAAATATAACAATTATGTGAAATGTATAGGTAACTGAAATAAATAAATACTTACTGATGCAGCACCAAAAATCAACAAAATCGAAAAAATGCACTGCAGAGCACTGGCAACAGCGATGGTGATCAAGATACCTTTAAGAACTACAAAATATATAATATATAAAAATAAACATAATCATCAAATACTTGTTACTTACTCTCCAATTTTGGTACCACAGAATCATCATTCATTTCGATCAATTCGTGTGGGTGTACCGCATAAGCGGCACTCATCATCATGCAAGTGAATGCGCCAATGCTGTTCAGTACCCCTATTATAATGGTACCGTGTTTGAGGCTGACGCCGCAACAGTTGGAAAGCTCCGGAACACCCATGATGAACTAGAAATATTAATAATTTTAACATTGGTATTCAATTTTTGATTGGTCAGTAATTATCGATGTTTCTGGATGTGTGGTCTATTCGAAGCACAATTTTGAGGTTTTTCAGGAAAAAGTCGAAGTGAATCCGAGGTAGAGGGTTCACGATAGTATCAGTGACAGTTTGCTAGAGTATCAGTTTGCTCGTGAAGAAGAGTTTTCTCAGTATGAGTCTTAAAGTATCAGTAAAAGTATTGTCATGGTGGCGCCTTCGCCAAGTTGTATAGAATCATGGTTATCACATCAGGGGAACTAGGGCAGGGACTCTAACGAATAGAGTTATTTTCTCTATCTCTGTTGGCCTCCTTTCTCTATTGATTTCGAAAATAGAGAAGATAGTAAGTACTATAGCGATGGAGATAACGATTTCTATCCGTCACAGAGTTCCAGCCCAGGGCCCCATCTCAGTCATAAATAAAGTGTCTTTCGCGACAGATGGCTTTTGTAGAGGCAAATTGATACAAAGACACGTCGATGAAATTCTTTCTTGATAAACAAGATTGGATAAACCATTGGGTCTAAAAAAGCAGGAAGTTGGACATAGGATCTTGAAAGACTGAAAGTGATTAGAAGCATAATAGAACCCAGAAAATGGGATCTTTTGAGATATACTCAGCATTTACACCTAAAACAAAATGGATGAAAAGCATGTCCTGTCAAAAGTGGTTTCATCTAGATGATAACCTATAACAAATGCGAATCAGTTAAATAGAAGATTCACAGAACTTTTACCTCCAACAAAAAAGTTAGTCTTGGTTGAATTTTCTCTTATTGTCTTACCCAACTAAACAAAGTTTCTGAATTCAATCACTTGCAAAAATTGCAAGATATTGATAAATAATTGAAAATTAATAATTCTATATAAACTTGCCCAAGTATTAGAAGCGAGAAAAATGACGTAATCTCAATAATGAGTTTAAATATTGTATTGCTTTAGTCTGCAGCAAATTATAATTTCTTTTGTGGACGCCTTTCAAACCTTTAATACAACCTACAAGCCAGCAATTACTCACCAAATTCAAGAAAATAAATCCTTTACAACAAAACTAAACTTCTATTTCCAATTTAAAATATTCAACAAACAATATACTCTTCGCTTAACTAACCATCACCTACTGCTATTATTAGTTACAGAAATTCCACGTTTCGAACCAAGTTACGACACACTGCTATATAACCATCCAACTAATATTAATGGTACGGTACTTTGATTTTTTTTTTCTAGATATGAGCTAATTGACCACAAACTTATGGTTTTAATGACGAATTAATAAAATTACCATTGTGCTTTTGTTGTTTTAGAGGATTTGAAATCGTAAATGCAATATGTAAACGTATTTAATATTATTGTCAATGTCTTATCCACAGGTCTTATCATAAAACAAATGCATTTTCATGGTAATTCAATTTAGATAAGGTAATATTCATCAGCAAATTTTGTATTGTTGCTGTTATGCTATTGTTTCAAGGTTGAGTCATTAAACTATTACAGTGATTTTGTAAAGCTCAGACTTACGTTACTAGCTATATGGTTGGATGGTTCTGGTTTACCATACAAAAGAGAAATCTGTGCAAGTTTGACTTACGATTTGGTTGAGCGTTGATTTTTTGGCAAGGATTTAGGATGCTTTTCTTCATTCTATTTGATTTTTTTGTGATTGACGTTGATAATATAAGATTTAAAAGGTAGTTAGAAGAATGCTTGAAGTAGGTACTGAAAATCTGCTTGTAAGAATATGAAGAGAAACAATTAAACTTTCTAAATACACACCAACACTCAAACACAAGGGTACAGGGGTACCGAGAACTAAAATGAAATTTACGTTTTATAGAAGTTTGTTTAAGAATGTTTTTAAAGTTTTATAAAAGTTTCTGTTGGTCATTTCAAAAACATCATCAAAAACATGTATTTTAGATAAAAATAGATGTATTATAGATGAAATTATTAGTTCGACTTAAGACATTTTTAAAGCATCCATTTTCGAGGATGTTTGTAAGGTTGTTTCTAACCGTGACATTTTCCCTATAAAAAAATCTATTGGAGTGGACGCTCTATATACGACGACTTCTGTAGCTTGGAACTTTCATTTGATTCATACCTATCCAAATCCATCAGGCAATTTGATGCATACCTTCTTTATTCAAATAACCTTTTAGAAATGCATTATTGACATCCATCTGATGGGAAATCAAGTTTTCTTTAATTAAAAATATACTCTAACCGTTGTCAAAACAGTATAATCAAAATGATGAAGAAATCCCATGGCCATCAATCTAGTTTTGTATCGATTCAGATTTCCATCTTCATCACACTTTAACTTGGAGATCCATTTTGCATTTGGACCAATTTCAGTTTTGTCCAAGTGAATCAACTATTTCCTGAACAACTTCCATCCATTTTCTGTCGAATCTCTTTCATTGCTCGATTGCTTCTCCTTTATCAACTTTTTGCAGAATCTACCTGCTTAATGTTTTGTACATCTTCTAAAGTTTCAATATTTTTATGTACTACTCTGACAACACTTTCTTACTAAGTGTCATCAGGTTTAACTCTTGATTTTGAATTTGAGAATATTTTATTCCTCTTTTGGGTGATCGTCTATTTTCTACTGTTCCAGGTCCTGATAGATTTGTTTATTTGTTGGTCCTGCTTGTCGTAGCTGTAGGTTGACGTCTCGAATTTTAACTTCCTCATTATAGGTGATTTCCTGGTAGGAAGTGAATTGCTCCGGGAGGGGCTGGTAGGCGGCTTTCCGTAATTAGTGTGTTGATAGCTGTTGTGGCTTTTTGGAAGTAACTATCGCAGAGATCATGAATGGGGGTTTGTAACTGTTGTAGTTTGGTGTCTCTGCGTATGGTGGTGTTTCGAACAAACCATGGAGCATTATTTATGTTTCTCAGAATGCGGTTTTCCAGTGTTGATTTTGGCAGGAGGTTACTTGAAGTGGCCGTGGTGGACCAGGCTAGGGCTCCCTGGGGCTCCGTAGGTAATTATTGGTCTGATGAATATTTTGTAAGTATTGATTTTTGTCTTGACGTTCAGTTTGCTCTTTCTGTTGAGGAGCGGGTAGAGCTGTTTGAGCTACGCTTGGGCTTTGTTTCTGGCATGTTTGATGTGCCTTTTCCAGTTCAAGCGGTTGTCGAAATAGATTCCTAAATATTTGGCAGTTGTGCTCCATTCGAGTGACGTTTCGATCCATTTCAGTTTTTCCTTTGGTGGCTGCTTTTTTTTTGCCAAACAGAATAGCCTGTGTTTTTCTGGCATTCTCTATCTGTCCATTCAGTTTCCCAGATCCCCGAGGTATGATCTGCTCCTGGCGGTGGCAGTGATGGCCGTGTCGTCCGCGTAGGCCAATAGTGAAGTTTCTCTGGACCTTGGGATATTCGCCATACATAGGTTGAATAGTGTGAAATTGAGCGGTGAACTTTGTGGCACGCCTGCTTGAATCTGTCTGGTCGTTAATCTGGCCATGAAGATTGTGGCTCCGTCTAAAGTTACGCAGAAGTTTCTGTCGCTTAGGAATGATCCAATTAGTTTGACCAGGTAGTGAGGAACACTGGCTCTTAGCAGATCAAGTATCAGGCCTTGGTGCCACATTTCCTCGAAAGCCCTGGATATATCTAGGAACACCGCTGCTGTTTCCATTTTCATGTTGGTTCCTTTCAGAATGGTGTAAGTGAGTCTGGTATAGTGTTGTTGTCTGAAGCCCATTTGTGCATTTGGCAGCAAGTTGGGGTGATTGATGGTGTCCTCTAATTCTCTTCTGATTACTCGCTCAGTCATTTTGCCTAGCGCTGGGAATAGGCTGATGGGTCTGTAGATTTTGGGATTGTTACTTGGTTGTCCTTGTTTTCTGAACAGTATTATGCTGGCTTCTTTCCAATTGGCTGGAAAGTAAGGAAAGTTCTCGTATTTCCTGCTTTTCGATTATTGGTGGTGGCTCTGGTCGTGGTTCTGTCAGTGGTAGTCGTATTGTTGTGTTGACATTACTCTTGTGCTCTGGATATAGAGGAGGTTTGTCTCGGAAGTGCTCCTCCAGGCTGTCTGCGAAAGCTTCCACTTTCCGGATCGGCTCTGAGATGTTGTTGCTTTTTGGACTTGGGGTTGCTTTGCGTGGTCCGCTGGTTAAGTTTTTGACCAGTCGGAATAGGTCTTTGCCTGTACAATGGATGGAGTCGAGTTTGTCCTGCCATTGGTCATTATAGCATTCGTTGACTAGAATGCGTATTTGTCGGTTCATTCTGTTGATTTGCCTTTGGAGGTAGGAGTCTCTTGTTCTTATAGCAATTTTTCGCAGTCTGTTCCTGCTGCGGATATCTTCCATTATTTCTGGTGGTAAGTTTTGTCTGTTTGTGGCCGGGTGGAAGAAGTTTTGTGTTTTTTTTTAAAGGCTTGTTCAATGTTTGCCGTTATCGTGTCTACAGCGATTTTTTTTTATCAGCGATCTCCCAGCTTCTTGCCATTCCAGGTGTCTTTGGTAGGTGTTCCAGGTAATGAATGTAGAGCGCATTCTGTTGCATGTTCACTTCGCCCGGTACCCCGTACTCAATGGCTACAGGGGGGTGGTCTGAAGAGAGCTGGTGAAGTACCTGTGGTTGAGATAATGGGTGGATGTTTTTATGTACGAACAGATCTAGTACACTTGCTGAGCCGTGATGCCCCATTCGAGAAGGTTCGTCCGGGGGCCAGATGTTGTAGTTAAGTCGTCCAGCGTTTTCTTGCATGTTTATTCCTCTTCGGTTGGATCTTGGGCACCCCAAGTCCTCGTGTTTTGCGTTGAAATCTCCAGTCTCCGCCAATGAGTACCACCTGGTTTTGGTCGCCGAAGAGTGCGTCTAGTTGTCCTGCTGTGATTTCTTTGTTTGGTTGCACATAGATGGATCCGATCACTAGTATTTGCCTGTTCCCTTGTATTGCTGCGAATGTGCCTCCAATTTGATCGCTTGGGTTTGGCAGTTCATAATGCCGGATGGTGGATTTAATGGCGAACAGCGTTCCGCCGCCCCTGTCATCTCTTTCTTGTCGAACGATCCTATAGTTTAGTAGCGTGAATCGGTGGGATGGTTTTAGCATCGTCTCTTGTATCATCAGTATGTCGACTTGTTGTTTTTCTAGAATTTGTGTCAATTCTATCTTCAAATCACATCAAAATTTTTATTCAATAGTAATATAACGAGTGCAATGGAAATTATTGATAATTTTTGGGAAATTTGCCCGAATGCATTTTTCAGTTAAAAACGCATGAGTGCAAATTTGTCGAAAATTATAAATATATTTTCATCACACGAGTTATATTTAATGAGAGAATTCCATAAATCAAAAATTTAATTTTTTTGTCAAAAAATGTCAAAACACCAGTTTTCGCACCAGTTACTATGCAATTATCTGATAATTTGCACTAGTGCAAATTATCGCGTAATTCCAATCTAATTGGTTCAAATCAACAATCAAAACATGTCAGTTTATTGTTGGAAAACCAGTTTTGACAGATGTATGAAATTCTCATGTTAATTGTCGCAAAAGCAACTTACATAAGTCAAATACTTATATAGAGTAAAAATTACTTAGTTCTAACAATAATAATGTCACACTAACAAGAACTTATTCTAAATAAAAATAAAAAACTGGGTTCAACATTCAAGACATAGATTAAAAACAGTATAAATTGAAAGCATACAGATTGAAAAAAAAGTACTTCATTATTCATTACACATTAAAATCAAAGTGGAAAAATTCCTCTAAAGAATAAAAACTGTTCCTTATCAAGATCTGTTTGATTGTTTTTTTAAAAGTTATAAATGGCATTCTTCTAATTCCAGCTGGCAGTTTGTTAAAAAAATTTAATAGCCCAGTAACCCGGACCATCGTGACACTTTCCCAGACGCCAATACACTCTTGCACCAGAGCATCCCTGCCCTGGGTCTCATAATCATGCACACTTCGGTGCATGATAAAGACATCAGGATTTTTCCTAACATAAAGAAGGTTTTCCAAAATGTAGACAGATGGAACGGTCAGTACGCCCAGCTTCCCAACGGACGGTCATCCTACAGTCTTTTCTGAATCCCAAACCACTCAACACCCTAACTGCCTTCCTCTGCATGCCAAAAACACGTCGAGTATCAGCTGCATGGCCCCAGGCAATGTTTGCATAAGAAAAGTTCGCATGGAGAGTTGCAAAATAGGCTGTTATCAATACCTGTTGCAATACTCTATCAGCAAGGTTTCTGAGAAGAAAAACATCACTAGCCAACCTCGAGGCTATTGTGCTGATATGTACGCTCCATTTCAGCTTAGGATCAACAGACACCCCAAGAAATCTGGCACCATCCATGGAATTTATTTGGTTGAGTTCTCTCCTTGAAAATACCATCCTTGTTGTTTTTTCAATATTCAAGAGCAGTTTATTAGAGTTAAACCAGCCCTGAGCCAACTCCTGTGCAACCATGGAACCCTCCAGAGAATCCTCTAATGTATCAGTAGATACGGATACTGTTGTGTCATCGGCAAAGAGGGTGTACTTTGATTGTTGGTCTTTAAATGGCAAGTCATTAATGTAGATGAGAAAAAGTATGGGCCCCAAGACGGAGCCTTGAGGTACCCCAATACTTATTTCTCCCTTTGCCGATGTCACACCAGCATAACGCACACTGCACACACTGACACCTACCTTTAAGATATGACTGCAAAAGGCTAATACTGTTGGGGCAAAAGTTGTAATATCTCATTATCTCCAAGAGAATTCCATGATCCACACAGTCGAAGGCTTTACTCAGATCGCAGAACAAGACCGTGTTGTGATAGTTATGGAAAGTGTCCAATATACCCTGGACCAGATGCAGAATGCCCATGGAAGTATCCCTATTTTGCCTTAAACCAAGCTGGCAGCCATTAAAAATACCATTACCCTCAAAGAAATTGACAATCTGCATCGACATGCACTTTTCCATGACTCTAAATGTTATTGGAAGAAGAGATATTGGGCGGTAGCTGTTAGGAGTGTCCCGATTTCCTTTTTTAAATATTCGGACTACGACCGCAATCTTTAGAACGTATGAAAAAACACAATGTGTGAAATACTGATTTATTAGCACTGTTAAGGGAACAATAATCTGATTTTTTATGCATTTGATTAGTTTAATATTAATGCCAAAGGTATCACAGCTATTCTTATTTTTTAAGTCACCAATAATTTCACGTACCTGAATAAAGTTTACTTCTTTAAATGCAAACGTTTCCAAGACATTCAGGTTGACTAGATTCTATAGGATCTAAATTGGAAGTTGTTATTTTACCTATAAGTTTCTGAGCTATGCTTAAGAAGTAAATATTAAAATCATTAGAGTCAAGAACTTCACTATTAACATTACTCTTATTTTTATTATGGAAGTTTTTTGTCTTCTGGGAAGCTCAATGTGTGGACAGGTTCCTTGTTTTTCTCCAGCAAAGCTTGGATTTTTCGGAAATGGTCCACTGTAGGGGGGTGGATTTTGATCCCTTCGCTGGTGTTTGTAGCGTTACCGAAGTTGATTTGGTTCAGCTTGAAACGGGCGGTTAGGTCGTTGTATTTTGACTTGTTTCGTAGAACAATCGAAGCCAAGTCTTGTTGATTGGCTTGCTGTTTTTTGGGTGGTGGCGTGAATTCGTCACTGCTGTTTGACTTGGCTCGGCGGCGTCTATTTTTTGCGTGAGGAGCTTTCTGCTATCTCCATGTTTTGCTGCGTCTACCAGCTCGCACAAGCGGCGTATTTCGGTGGTCTTCACATTGTCGGCAGTGTGGAACGCGCTAACCGCGACTTTGAGCTTCAAGTTTTCGCTCTTGACTTGTTCCAGCTCTTATTTTAGGTTGGCAGTTGCCATTGTCTGTGTGCAATTGTACCAGGTCACTTTTCAGAGCCTCGTTATCCTTTTGCAGCTCTTCGAGTTGACGGGCTACCTTGGCTTGCCATTCTTCTAGCGTCAGGTTTGACATCGTGGAAGTAGTTGATCGAAGACGCACTCACATTGATTCACTATCGCAACTGACTTCAACTTTTCGCACTTCAACTTTTCGCTCTCGGAAAACACTAGCAGCTTGGTTTGGCTTTGGGAAATGGCACTGGTCAACATTCCTCTACGCAAACAAACTTAGCAGAATTGAGATCTCTCTTGGTGAAAACGTGTTACTACTTTGAGAGCTCAACTTCATGTATTTTCCCCTCTTTAGGACACCATAACTTGTATCCTTTGAAGCAGTGACCAATAATGTAGCATTCTCTCATCTGATTCTTGAATTTTTCATTGTTCCAAGTCCTGGCAGATGAAGATATGCAACACAACCAACAATGCTCAGGTCTACCAGACTAGGATTCTTTCCAAACCATGACCTGAATTTTTTCAGTGTTTTCTAAGAAATACCTATGCGGTGAAAGAGTGAGAGTAAGATAGAATATACTTTTATTTGTGCGGGGTATAATTTGGTTTTATTGTTATTTCGTGGGACTATAGGTGCATGGATTGAGTCTTTCCTGAAGGAACGGTAGCAACTAGTAGAAACTAGAGATGAAAACGGCCAGGCCATTAGATCACAAATCAAAGAGTTGAAGCATGGAGTTGTACAAGGATCTACTCTGGGACCCATTTTCTTTATACTCTACGTGAATGATCTAGTGGCTCTACCTATGAATGGACACCTGACATTGTTTGCCGACGACACAACGATCACATTGTTACGGACCGGAATTGACGGATGCCAATTATATTAGGAACCCGGAGTTTTCCGCTGGTTCCAATGTATGTCCTGTTCACAATCCGATGTCCACAGGTGCAGGTACATTTATCACCTTTCCCTATCAAATAGCATTGAAAGGTGATAAATTTAACCGGTACCAGTGGACATCGGATTGTGAACGGATAATAGTTATCTCGGATTATTTTTCTACCTATTATCCGGTATTTTAGTAAATTAAAAAGTAAAACTAGAAATTACTTTGAAGGTTTAGTATATTTTAACTCTGAACGAAACTAATTTCACATAAGTGCGACTGCTACAACCCGACTGTTCGCTATCGATCTTAGTTTATAATTTTCAGGGCAATTCTCACCATCTGGAATAATAAAATCAGGTCTGGAAAAGTACTCTATCTTTGGCGGAAGAACACCCTCCATGGGTTATTTTTTATTTATATGTATTTACAATAATTTGGTTCCTGCAATAGAGGTACCGAGTACCGACAAATGGAAACATCTTTCTGGGATATTGGTGTTTACAGGAGATTGGTTGTAATAATAATTCCAGCCGGCACATCTTTAAAACCTTAATAAGCCATAAGTTATAAAGTACCTAATTGATGAGGGACTGAACCAAACAGATGGTGGAATTTGTTGATGAGAGGAAATGTAGTAAACATAATGAACATAATTGTTATTATTAAAATTTACTGGTTCACAACAACATGAACCGGCGACTGCAGGAGTTGTTCAGAGAAGGATAGACGAAGATGCGTTGTTTCAGTTGTTTGACTAACACTTAGTTAAAATTCAGCTTAAGCTAAATTGAACTTAGTCAATCTTATATTATAGTCACATTATTACTAATTCATATTAAATCTGATTTTTCCCATACTTCCTTTTAAAATAGCATAATGTAAACGGCAATCTAAAAATAATTTATATTTCAAATACGCGTAGCTGCAATTATATATTATAATAAATATGAACCAGTGTTAAATTCAGCTACGATTTATCCTATAATAGAAATGAAAATTTAGAGGAGGCCTATGTTCAACAATGGACGTGAAAAGAGGCTGTTTGATGATGATTATAGGAAACTGAAGGCCTGGAATTGATTTCCGAAGAGCGCACTAATTCGAAATTAGAGCAATCTCCTAATTTCAAAAACTGAGGAAAAAGTGTATTCAATTATCAGTTCAATATGGATCTGCTCAATTGCTCAAGTGTTCAGGCCTAATAAGGCATTAAATTACCCTAACCAATTATCTCATTTTGTTTCAATAACAAGGGGAAGAATTATCACAAAGAAAAGTATCAACTTTTCCGACATTTCGAGTTCCCATTTCAAATTACTAAGAACTTGACAACAAAAGTACATTTAATTAACCAGCCATTCAAGCCCAAATTATCTTATTTATTTCAATATTCTATTCGGTTTTGATTATGACTGTGACAATTTAACAAAAATACCTAATAAAAATAAAAAATAGCCGCTACTGATATTGCATTGATTATTAATCACATATTCGATATAAAAACCGATAGATACCTCCTCTTAACTCTGATACGTCTACATACCCATTAATCATGCCCCCACTATATTATACCAAACCAAGAGCTATAATAGAGAAACCATTATTTGTACAGTTAAAATCAAAACTCTCACAACTTAAGAAACATTCAACTCCTCTTATGGTCCATTTAAAAAAGCTTTTATTTATTTTATTTCCAAATTTGCGTTTGGTACAAGTGGCAGTGAAAAGTACTAAATCTAGTATGAGATTTCCAGCTAAACTGGCCACGGCCGCCGTGTGCGTTTTGGCTTTCGATGTTCTTGTTTTATTTGTTGGAGTACCCAAACTAATTAAATCGCAAATTAAAAAGGTAAGTGTATGGTGGTTTAATGAAAAAGTAGACTAAAAAATTAATTTTATTAGATGGTAAATTTGAAACCTGGAGTGGAACTTCGTGACATGTTTATCACAGTGCCATTTCCGCTTAATTTTAACGTATACATTTTTTCCGTTTTGAATCCGGAAGAAGTCCAAAGTGGCGCTAAACCGAGATTAAAAGAAATTGGTCCATTTTGCTATGAGTAAGTGAGTTCAAAAGAGACAAGAATTTTTGTAATTGTTCATTATCAACAGAGAATGGAAAACTAAAATTAACGTACAAGACTTCGAAGGGGATGATACAGTTGCATATGATCCAGTTGATACTTTTTTCAAAGCTACTGGGCCAAAATGCGTTAATGGTGATACTGAAGTTACTGTACCACATCCAATGATTTTGGTAAGGAGAGAGATTGATTTAGACGATACTTCTCGATTTTCACAATTTTATTTCAATGTACAAGTAGATTGTAGATTGTAATGGTTGAGGTGCTTAGGTTATGGACTGCTCCGCACAGTGATCTATTTAGACCTATTGTGCTTCCCCTTATAGTGGGTTCCCAGGTTAAATCCTATAATGTTTTTGGGATTGACTTCTTTCACATGTGTAGTATGGTAACTTAGAGAGGAGTGACCTGTAAGGAGTCCTGTGGGCAGCATTAGATTCGCTTTACTAAGGTCAATTATTTCCTTTGCCTTTCTTGATAGGGGCGAGATGTAGTTTCGTAGGTCGATCGAGTGTATGCCACTGGGTATTTTCCTGTTTCTGACTACCCCCTCAACCTTTGCATGCTGGTATGAATTCAATCCTATGTACAGTTGTTGAATAATCATACAATTTATTATTTGCAGTTTTTGAATAATTACACAGTTTTGTATATTTTCGTATGGTTCCCCATTCGTAGGTCGATCGAGTGTACGCCACTGATATTTTTCTGACTACCCCCTCAACCTTTCCATGAATTTTAGTATGAATTCAATCCTATATTTTTGAATAATCATACAGTTTCCTATGGGCTCGGTACTAAACTAATAGGCAATTATTTTAATGGTAATTATCAATTTTTGAAAGGTACCAATTTTCTTGGAGTCTAAAATCATAAACGGGCCTCGATGTATTGAGGTTATATTAAATTGCATTCACCATAATTAATGGATCCATACCATTAATCCACACATACCTATTTACTTTACTATTATGAAGCTGGTACGTTCAAAAATATTTTTTATATATTTTTTTTTATACCATTTTGACGTTTAAAAATGACATTATTGAACCCATAACAATAAAGGTAAGTAAACGTTTATCACCTCAGTGATTTAATAGTTATTTGTGCAACCAGTTGGGAAAAGCACTATTTTTCGTAACGAGCAGATTTCTGCGGAACGAGCGAAGCGAGTTCCGCAAAAGGAAGCGAGTTACGAAAAATAGTGTTTCACACAATATTTTTTTAATTTTGTATATTATGATCTGATCCATTCAAATTCGAGTCAAAAACATAAAAAATGTTCCTTCTGTAATTATTTCTAAATCGTCAAGAAAGTTCAGAGATGTTTCCTATTCCGTTGCTATGAAAGCCAGTATTGTTTAGTGTCAAGTTTGACGACTCAAACCGGTCATTGCTTTCGGCGAACATTGACTACCTACTCTGCTTGTAGATTCTGTGGCTGATTTGCTGAGAATTGAATAGCATGGACGGTAGAAGTCTAATACAGCCGCTAAGAGCTATGTGGAGATTTCCATAACTATAATAAACAGGAAATTGTCACCAACATCCTTGGAGAGACTTCCATGGAAAAAACATTCAATTTATTTATTTAATTAATGCTACACAGAAAACTATGTTGTCGAATTCATCAATAATTGTTCAAACAGACGTTACAATTTGAATGGAATTAAATCTTCATAATATGTACGTACAAAGAATATAACAACAACAAAGTAGTTCAAGTAGTTCAGCCTCAAAAGTAACATAGATTTTGTTCCTGTATTTTTTGCAACTAATGGTGAAACTTATAGTCCGTTGCATGGTTCTTGAGCTACGTCTACTGAATAGACAGAAAGAACAATGGGCTATTGCTGCGTTGTCATATCAATAATAATATTTATTATTACTTAAAAATGAAGGAAATTTTTATATTATTTTATTGCAATTTTCATGTATTAATAAATATTATCGATATGACAACTGACAACGCACCAATAGCCCATTGTCCCCTCTGTCTATTCAGTAGCCGTAGGTCAAGAACCATGCAACGGACTATACTTTTCATCACCAGTTGCGAAAAATTTTACTTTTCGTAACTGGTGATGAAAAGTAAGGCATTTGATAACGTCAACGAGTTTTGAAAAGTGTCACTTCAAATGTTAAAATTAGAAATAGTTATTTTCCTAACAAGTGCGCAAAGTGTTACTTTTCCGCACGCAAACACAGTTATACGAACGACGCGAAGCGGAGTTCGGATACGTGTTTGCGTGCGGAAAAGACACTTTGCGCACGTGTTAGGAACAAAATTTTTCCTACGAGCTTCATATCAGGTAGGTAATAACAAAAATTTGAAAAAAAAAAACGATAATTTGTTTAATTATTTTTAATTAACTTGAAGGGAACCTATGCATTTATCAAAAAATTACATAACAAAAAAAAAATAACAGAAAATCCTCGTCAGAGCTGTTCATCTTAAAGCGTTTAAATTTGATGAGAAAGTTTGTAGATTTTTGCATATAAATAGAGAACAAATCTGAGGTGTCAAAGTTAATTTATAATTGGTGTTTGTATAGATGTTGGCTGATATAGAAATAGAGGAAAAATTTGTCATCATGTGTCAAAGTCGACAGGTGCACTTATTGTTGCTTGACAATTATAATTACTTTTCGGCACTCAGTGCGGATAAGGCCTGTATCCGCACTGAGTGCGGAAAAGTGTAACTTTGAGCCCGGAAATGCGTGCGGAAAAGTACTACTTTGCGCACGCTCGTAGGAAAAAATATTTTTAACTCATTCCCGGCATTTTTCCTTGTATTTTATTTTTCAAATTTCCACAAAATGAGAGGGCTCGTGGGTTAAACTTTCTTCTCATGGATAAACATTCATTTAACTCACTTGGTGTATAAATAACTATTAAATGAGAAATTTGTTAATGAAGGAATAATTCCTGAACGAATATAAGATTGTACATTTTTTCAAGTGATTGTATCACTGTACTCTTGAAGTCTTTAATGTACTCCTTTTGGTACAATTATACCCTCTGTAACATCGCTGGCGATGTCTCCTAAGTTTCTGGGTTTCGATCTTGCGATGATGCCAAGCTTAAGCTCGTTTCTTGGGACCTTTGCAGATCTATCGTTATATTTTCCTGTAGCAAATCGATTTTTTCACAAATTTGTCGTTCTTTATCGTTTAAATCAATTGAAATTGCAGCTTTATATTGCTGAAGCCCTGTTAGAAAGGCTTTCTTATCTTGCAATACAGGTACTAGACTGTTGGTGTCATTAACCTCACTTTCCTTGGTGAGACAGCATTTCACATAGTTCTTCTTACCAACTGCTACCAGGGCTGGAATTCGAAGTGCACATGAAGTATGGTACTGAGCCTCACATATTGTACATTCAAATTAAAATTCAAATTCAAATTTTATTCACGCATATAGCATTTACAATAACTACTTCATTCTACAAAAAGAAGTCAAATGAATAATATAAAATTATCAGAAATACAATGTTCCAAAAAGAGAATCACTCTGCCATTTAATCTAAAATACAATACCCATTTAAAATAACCCTATCCTTATTTATTAATCACGAACCAGATGAAACAAAAAATTACCAACAAAAACGAATGTCGATTGCTAATACGTCAAATTCATGTGCAAATAGGAAATTCCTAACCTAATTTTATTTGTCTGTTCAAGACGCGACATACGTTTAGTCACTAGAACGACTGGTACTTCTAAATAGGTATTAAAAATTCTATATATCACATTTTCCATAGTTAGTTCTATGGAAATCAACATTAAATAAAATCTTATTTCTAACGTTCATCGGAGAAACATGAATGCCAATAGCTGCCAGAAGGTCTGGTGCATCCATCATGCTATTGAGGATCTTATAGAAGGTAGAGATGTCAAAAAAATTTCTTCTGTTTTCCAGTGATGTCAAATCTAATAGTTTCATAATGTCAGTATAGTTTATTTCCTCAAGTGGTATATGTAGTTTGGATGCTATTCTTCTCAGAAATTCATGCAGAATTCTCTCCAACTTTTTTATGTACATCATAGCATGGTTGCCAAACGCAGCTGGCATATTCCAGGATTGAGCGGACAAGAGCACAATAAAGCAACTTGAATGTAAAAATATTCTCAAATCCTCGTAGCGTTCGAAAGACAAATTCCAGCAAACGCATTGTTCTGTTGGTTATTACATCAATGTGATGAGTAAAAGTGAGTTCGGAGTCAAATCAAACACCGAGATCCTTCACTAGGGTCTTTCAAGCTGTTCAGAGTTAAGCAAATAATTGTAAATGTGAGGATTTTTAGATCTGCTAAATGAGACTACTTTACATTTCTTCACATTCAAAGAAAGGTTATTATTGGTACACCATACAGAAAAACGATTCAAGTCCTCCTGCAGCAACCGGCAATGGCGGCAATCATTTATTGTTTGTATAAGTCTAAATGACTTTAAATCATCAGCGAAAGCCAGAAATCGACTATGTTGGAAAGAGCCTTTAACATCATTAATGAAGCAGTTGAATAAGAAAGTTGAGAGGTGTCCGCCTTGGGGGACACCTCTTTATTTTTACTGCCTGCGTCCTACCTCTCAACATATTTTCAAACCAACTAAGTGTTCAAATTTGGAGATAATATCAGATACAATTTAAAGTAGAAAACTATTTTATTAACCGGAAAATGAACAATAGAAATTAATAAAAATAATATAAAAAATGACTACTACTTTGACAAATTGTCACACTAACTAAAAACTGGTTCACAGGTGTACAAAAAATAATTATAAATAAAAGAATGCAATCCTATTGATTGTCTCAAACCTTGATACAGACCCATGAAAACTGTTTACCTATTCAAATTTAAAAATGATTATTGTTGAACAAGTATATTATTTCAACACCCCCTCTCAACCATAATTATTTTTCAATCAGTCAGACAGGCCACTCTTGGCACTTAAATATTCCAACTTCACTTTATTTAGCGGCTTGGTTAACATATCAGCAATCATATCCTCAGTCGGACAATATTTAAAATCAAAAACCCGCCTTTCACACAATTCTTTCACAAAGTGATACTTTGTATCAATGTGTTTTGTTCTATTACTAAATTTATGGTTTTCTAGTTGCTTGAGACAACTTTGGTTGTCTTCATACATAACTACTCTCGGTTCCAA